CACCCAACCCACCCTCCGCTCCTCCCTTCCTCCTCCCATCCTACCCGCAGCAGCATCCGCAGCGGCACCAGCTGCAGAACCAGCAGCGGCACGGGCAGCAGGGCCAGCAGCAGCATTGGCAACGGTACCCTCGCACCATCCTCCTCCTGCCCTAGCCTCTACCCACCCTCATCTCTATGGCATCGTCGTCTGATTCTTCCGTCGACCTTGCCACTGTTGACGCGCTCGAGTTGCTGCCTGACAACTCTGCTGCTAATTGGCACTCTTATGCTCATTCCGTTGAGGTGCTCCTCTCCTCTGTTGTGGTCAGCGGCTACAACCTTCGCTCGGTTGTCTTTCCGGAAGGCGGTGGACTTCAGCCCGTGGCCCCCACCGCTCCTACTGGACCTGCCCCCGCCCACCCTGGCGCCGAGCCCTCTCCCCCCGGTGATCCTCCTCCTCCGGTTTGCCAGCAGCAGCCCTTTCCTACCTGGACTGCTGGGAGTGCTGCCTCTGCAGCCCATCTCTCGGGTGCGTCCCCCGCGCCGTCTGCAGGTGGTAGTGTGACCGCTTTCCCTTCCTCTGGTTTTGCTGGTTTATTAGGTCAACCTGAATCTGTTGCATCTCCCATGTACCCTGCTTCTGCTAATGAAACTTCGTTCCAGTACTCTGCCTCACCTTCCTCCACCATTGACTTCGTTCTGGACAGTGGAGCCACTGACACTGTCCTTCGCGACGCTGGTACACTGCGCCCTCTCCCCACACCAACCTCCCTCCTCGGCGCTGATAGCAGTTTTTCCATCCCTTGTCACAACACCTCCACCCTTCCCTGTCCTCTCTTTCCCTCAGGTACAGTCACCGGTCTCCACATTCCCTCCCTTCGTACTAACCTCCTCTCCCGAAGGTCCCTCCAACAAGCCATGATCACCACTCTCATCCCAGGTGGTGCTAACCATTGTGACCTATACCAAACCTCCACAGGTCATTTTCTCGCCCGTATTCCCTATTGTCCCCGCTCTCGTCTGTACACCCTTCGGGTTCCCTGCCCCCTCACCTTCCAAGTTGCCTCCCCCCCCCTCCTCCCCCCCCCCCCCTTCCCCTCCCTCCCACTAACCCACCCCTCCCCCCCCGCCCTCCTGACTCTGACTGTTCCTGTCGCTCCCTCTCCCACCCCACCATCCTCCTCCATCACAGGCTAGGCCATCCCAACTTCGCTACTCTGCGCTCCTCTGTCTCCTCCGGTCTCCTCCACGGTCTCCCCTCCTCCCTCCCTCCCCTCCCCAAATCCCCTGCCCCCCCCTGCACCGTCTGCGTTCAGAGCAAGCTCAAGCAGGAGCCGCACCGGAGCTCTCCCTCCGCTGCTACGCAGCTACTTGATCTTGTTCACATGGACCTATGGGGCCCTAATCCCTCTCCCACTCGCCAGGGCCATCGCTACCTTCTCGTGCTTGTTGATGATCACAGTCGGTACTCGTCCGTCTCTCTCCTTCGGACGAAGGCGGATGCCTCGGCTGCGATCATCGCCTGGCTCGAACGGGCAAAACCCATTTTGGGCGCCTTGTTCGCCGCCTTCACTCTGATGGAGGTGGTGAGTTCCTTAACAACCAAGTCTCCTCCTATTGTCAGTCTCGTGGCATCCTTCAGACTTACACCCTCCCTCACTCCCCACAGCAGAACGGCGTGGCTGAGAGTCGTGTTCGAGAGATCACCAAAACAGCCAGGTGTCTGCTTGTCCACGCCTCCTGCCCCCCTTCTCTTTGGGGCTACGCCCTCTTTCATGCCGCCCTCCTTACTAACCTTTACCCTCACACCCTTCTCCCCTCCATCACCCCCACTGAGCTGTGGACGAAGGACAAGCCTGATGCCTCATCACTTCGTGTCTGGGGCTCCAAGGCACATGTCCTCATTCACCCCTCTGACCGCTCCCGTTCCATGGGAAAGCTTGCCCCTCGTACCCTTCCCTGCATCTTCCTTGGTCATAATCCCTCCTCCCTTGACTACCTTTTCCTCCACCCACCATCCGGTCGTCTAATCCGCAGCCGGGATGTGGTCTTTGACGAGTCCTCTCCCTACTACTCCTCTCCCACATCTACTGACCCACTCCCCCCTCTCACCCGTCCCCTTGTCTGGTCTGACACCACCCCTCCCCCACTACTCCCTCCTCCCCCCATCCTCCCACCCCCCCCTTCTCCGCCGTCCCAGTCCCATGGTGCCCCTCCCTCTTCTGGTGACATCTTTGACCCGGAACCTCTGTCTTCTCCTGTCTCCCCCGCTCACTCCTCTCCTAGTACCCCTCCCCCCCCCCCCCTTCCTCTCCCTCGCCACCAACCCGTCCTCCCCCTTCCCGCACCATACTCACCCGATATCCCCACACCAGGTCACGTGACGGTATCCTTGGTGCACCGCCTCCCGTTACCCTCTCTACCTCTACCCTCCCCCCTCTCTCCCCCCTCCTCCGTCACTTCTTCCAGGCTGTCTTGCATCAAGCCCCTCATGCAACAACCCCCTCAACCACCTCCTCTCCAGCAGCAGCACCAGCAGTGGGACCAGCAGCGGCAGCAGCAGCAGCGCCAGCAGCCGCAGCAGCAGCAGGACCAGCAGCGGCAGCAGCAGCGGGAGCGGCATCGGCAGCAGCAGCGGGACCAGCAGCGGCACGAGCAGCACCAGCAGCAGCACCAGCAACAGTACCAGCAACAGTACCAGCAGCGGCACCAGCAACGGCACCAGCAGCGGCACCAGCAGCGGCACCAGCAGCGGCACCAGCAGCAGTACCAGCACCGGCACCGGCAACGCCTCCACCAGCAGCACCAGCAGCGGCACCAGCAGTCATCCGCGCCTTCCACACCTCCCTCTCTGAGGACTCCCATGAAGAGTTCCTTGACCTCCACCTTTATGACCCCTCGCTTCTACCCATCACGTTCGACCCCTCTGGCACACCTGTCTTCGCCTTCTCCTCTGCTCCCTCCATTTTCGTTCCTACCACGTACGAGGAGGCAATGGCGTGCCCTAACGCTCCGCTATGGCTCGCCGCCATCATCAAGGAGCTGGAGGCCTTTATCGGCAACTCCTCTTTTGTCGATGTGCCTCGCCCTCCCGCCCCTACGAACGTGGTGAAAGGAAAGTGGGTGTTTCGCGTCAAGCAGCTGCCAGGGGAGCCGCCCGTTTATAAGGCTCGTTGCTGCGCCAAGGGGTTCACGCAGCGGTATGGTTTTGACTTCTTCGATACCTTCTCCCCTACTGCCAAGCCTGCTATTGTTCGCGCCGTGCTCGACCTCGCCGCTCGCCTCAATATGGAGATCCACTCGATGGACGTTTCTAATGCCTTCCTACAAGGCGTCCTCCGCGAGCTTATCTACATGGAGCATCCAGCCGGCTTTCACCTCCCCTTCCCAGCAGACTCTGTCTGGCAGCTGCGTCGACCGGTGTATGGGCTCCGACAGGCCCCGAGGGAGTGGCATGCTAAACTTGCCGCCACCCTTGCTGAACTTGGGTTCCGCACCTCCCGCTCTTACGCCAGCCTCTTCCTCCGCACCTCCCCCTCCCCATTTTACATCCTTGTGTATGTCGATGACATGATTCTGCTCATTGCCGACCTTGGAGAGTTGGAGCATGTTAAGGCTGAGTTGGGCACCCGTCTCAAGTGCAAAGACTTGGGAGAGCTGCAGCATTATCTGGGCATGACCATCACTCGTGACCGCTCCGCCCGCACCATCTCACTCTCCCAGGGTCATGACTTGCAGCAGGTCTTGGAGTGGTTTGACATGGCCCGCGGCGGCGCCCAACATACACCTCTTTCTGTCGGGCACCACCTCTCTCCACCCACCTCCCCCTCAGCCTCCTCCCATCCTTATCCTGAGCTCATCGGCTCCCTCATGTACGCCATGGTCTCCACTCGCCCTGACCTTGCCTACCCCATCAGCGTCCTCGCTCGTTTTGTTGGTGCAGGCAAGCATACGGAAGAGCACTGGCAGGTCGCCAAGCGTGTCCTCCGGTACCTTCGTGGCACCAAGGACTATGTCCTTACCCTTGGCGGCCCCTCCCCACCTCTTCTCAGCGGCTACAGTGACTCCTCCTGGGCTGATTCCCGGCCAGATCGTCGCTCCTCCCAGGGCTATGGCTTCTCTCTTGGCAGCGGCCTTATCAGCTAGCGCTCCACCCGCTCCTCGGCAACAGCCCTCTCCTCCTGCGAGGCGGAATTGTATGCCGCCACCATGGCTGCGCAAGAGGCCCGCTGGCTCACCTTCCTTCTTGAGGAACTTGGTGCCCCCCAGCGCTGTCCCACAATTTGGTGTGACAATGCTAGTACCATTCACCTCACCAAAGATGCTGTGTTTCACGGGCGCTCCAAGCACATTGAGCTCCGTCATTTCTTCATTCGCGATCTTCAGGCGGGGCACCTTCGCCTCGACAAGGTTGACTCGGCGGCCAACCTTGCCGACATCTTCACAAAAGCTCTTCCTCATGCCGCTCACTCTTTCCTACTTCGTCTTCTTGGCCTCACTCCTCCTAAGTCGCCTCCCGCCTCTTGATTTTAGCCTTCTAGCCTTATGCATGTTGGGGGGTTGTGTTGTAATTTCATATTTCATACAACATACTAGGCATGATCATTAGGCCCGACCCGACCCGACCCGACCCGACTTGGGCGGGCCAGCCGGGTTTCGGGTCGGGTCGGGTCGGGTCGGAACTTCTAGGAATCCTGGCCCGACCCGGGTATCGGGTGCCGGGTCAGGCTTGACCCCCCCCCGGGTCGGGTCGGGTAGGGGCCGGGTCGGGTCGGGTCGGGCCAGAACCCCATATGCAGTGTGTAGGGGTTTCCTCAATACTGTCCAGTGTTGCAAAGACTGAATGTTTGTGTAATTTATAATTATATGAACGTCCTCCCTTCTGTAAATTAACTATTCAAAGTTGCGTAAACTGTTACACGTGTTTGGAAAAAACCTACAAAGGCCTAAAAGCTAACGGAGTCAACTAGTAGTTCGACGCACAGGAATAAGAACCAATCAAGTTTTGGTCCGATCACGTTATCTGATGAAGTTAAGGGCATGAGCATCAATTACGAACAAATATCACAACCCCATCGATTCATCCTCCACTCCCAGGGTGGGATTGGCCGTTGAGGTGCCCTTGGGAGCGAGAGTCCCCGAAGGGTGGTGGTCCTGCCACGTCTTAATCAGCATGGAAGCACGCACTTGGCCAGCTGCCAGTCGGTGTCGCTGCCAAGTAATGATGTTCCTGCTCTGTGAGAATGCGCGCTCACTCGCTGCTGACGAAGCCGGTACCCCCAGATAATCTTTAGCCATCGCCCTCAAGCCCTTCAGTGTCTCCCTGCTGCGCCAATACTCCAATGCGCTTCCACCCCTCTGCCTCCCCTCTGCCAGGTACTGATCCACCTCATCCTGTAGATCCTCCCCCTCTTCGGCCTCCATGGCGTCCCACGCAGCGAACAACTGAGACTGGATGCTGACATTTGCCGATGCATCCACACCCCCACCCCCTGCCGACGCATGCACCCCTGCACCCCTCGCACTAGTCACCTCCCCACCATCTCGCAGCGCCGTGGTGCTGGCTGCCTGGTACTCTGGAAGGCGCGCTCGTACCAGGGCCTTCACCCTATCAGGTCCTAGCTCCAGTGTTGTCCCTCTCGAATTCCCCTCTGCTGCCCTGACTCGGTGCTTGAAGGGCGCGAGCTTCTGGCGCGGGTCCAAGAAAGTGGCTATCGCTGCCTCCTCGCTCACACCCCCCATGTGTCGCTCCAGCTTGCTCAGAGCAGCAGTGATCAGCGATGAGCGCAGAGGGGAGATGCCAGGAGTGCGCTGTGCCTTCTCCTGCAGATCAATCAGCGCGTTGTACTGCGGTACAACGGCTGAGAGGGTAGGGTACAGAGAACCCTCGGCGAAGAGGGTGACTTGCTCGAATGGGGTGAGGAAGTCTCGGAGCTCGGCGAGGTCGTCCCAGTGCGCATCCGTCAACCTGATGGCGTCCCACGCCTTCTTAGTCTCCTTGCTGATGGATGATTGGTATGGGTCACATGGGTTGTAAAGATGGAGGCACAGTATGGGATTGTGGCACATGCATGGGATGGTGGCACATGCATGGGATGGTGGGACATGCATGCATGGGATGGTGGCACATGCATGCATGGGATGGTGGCACATGCATGCATGGGATGGTGGGACATGCATGCATGGGATGGTGGCACATGCATGGGATGGTGGCACATGCATGCATGGGATGGTGGCACATGCATGGGATGGTGGGACATGCATGCATGGGATGGTGGCACATGCATGCATGGGATGGTGGCACATGCATGCATGGGATGGTGGCACATGCATGGGATGGTGGCACATGCATGCATGGGATGGTGGGACATGCATGCATGGGATGGTGGCACATGCATGCATGGGATGGTGGCACATGCATGGGATGGTGGGACATGCATGCATGGGATGGTGGCACATGCATGGGATTGTGGCACATGCACGCATGGGATGGTGGCACATGCATGCATGGGATGGTGGCACATGCATGGGATTGTGGCACATGCATGTGAATCCAACCATACGTACATCTGAATCGTCGAAAAACATGGCAATGGGCATGCGCAGCTCGAAGCCCCTGTTCACCATGTGGAGTGTAGAACCCCATCTCGTCACGCAGTCCACGATCAAACGCAACGGACCCGATGGTCGCCGAGAACCTGGAGGACCCTGGGGCCGGGTCGCCGCGTATCCCTTCTGGAGCTCGAAGAAACGATCTGTGCGCAGTGTGGACCAGCCGATGTAGTTCGCCACGTCTCGCAGCCTCTTGAGTGGCTCGGCCACCTCGTCAACCTTCAGTGCAGCTTGCACTGCAAGGTTGACGACGTGCGCCATGCACCTGTTGGGGCAATGCATTGTGCACAACCTTAATGTCACTGTACCACATGAGCACTGCCATAACAAACATGGTGGACTACGCCAACAGTTTATAGCATACCCTTACGGAGACAGCCCCATAGTACCTGAAGTGCCTCCAGCGACTGAGCAGTGGTGGGTGCCTGGGCCGTGAGCCCGGCCTGGCGTCAGGTACACCGGCCAGCAGACGCATCGCCCTGCTGTTGTTCTCGGCGTTGTCACACGTCACGGCGAACAGCATCTTCTCCAAGCCCCACTCCCTCAACACCTCCTCCAGCTCATCGGCTATCAAGTCCCCCGTATGAGAGCCCTTAAGCTCCCTGAAGTCTATAACAGCCTGTTTTAGCTGGAAATCGCTGGTGACATAGTGGGCAGTCACCCCCATGAAGGCCACGTTGTTCTCACCGGTCCAGATGTCAAAGGTGAGGGACATCCTTCCCGCCAGGCCATCACCCACCAGTAGCTGCCGCATGTCCTCCCGAGCAGCCTCCCCGTATGCCTGCATGTCCCGTGCCAAGCGATGGCGTGAGCCGAGCAGTAGCGCAGCTCCCGGGTTCAGCATCTGGACAAATGCTTTGAACTGTAACGCAGGAGTCAAAGGATGTCGGTAAAAGGATTATGAAGATGCTTCGGGATTAGCCAACAGAATGCAGTGCGGCTGCCCTGTACGAATATGACCACCTCAATACGAAGATGAACATGACCAACGGCAAGAGAACGGCGTCACTCACCTCGCGACACTCAACAAGTCGAAACGGAAGGTCAGCTGCCGCAAATAGCAGCACCAATCCCTCGCGCAGCTGCTGGCCATGAACACGCGGCGTGACGAATGCGGCCATGCTCATCTGCCTACTCCCACCAGCCTCGGATCCGCCTGGCACAGCGCTGTCTGGTGTCTGTACAATCCTGGGCCACGTGGCTGCATGCTCCCAAGGCCACGTTGTCTGGTCGGGGACATCCGGACCCCATCCCCCATCGGGAAACGTCAGGTTGTCTGGCTTGTTTGGATCCTTGAAACGCCGACACCAGATCTGCAGACTGGGGTAGTGGCTCCTCTTGAGGTGTCTCTTCCCCGTGCTCGTGCAACTACCTTTCCAGCTAATCTTCTTCTTGCAAATCTTGCAATTCCTAGCCTCGTTCACATCCTTCTCACTGAACATGCCACGAACCAGGCCGGGTTCTGCATTCCTAAGCACCTCCTCAGTCCATGGGTCCAGCTCCTCGTCAGTAGGGGTCCTGCCCGCCCTGTCGGACCTCTGGCTTGCAATCACAGCAGCAGCTCCAGCCCCCGTAGACCCACCCAAAGGTGCACCACCTGCCGCAGCGGCGGAGGTACCTGCCCCTGCTGCGCCCGACCCCTCAGAACCACCCGCGGCTGCCCCCTGCGGCTGCGAATTCGACGCCGGCCCGGCCCCTCCAGCTCCCGACCCCACAGGCCCACTCGGGCGTGGCCTCTTTGCTGCTGCACCGCTGCCACGCGCGCCACTGCCACCAGCCTGGCCCGCTCCTCTCCCTCCCCAACCCTCATCACCCGATCCTCCACTCGTGCCGGCCGCCTCCCCCGGAGCCGGCCTCCAATCCGGGTCCTTCTCCTTTCCCCGTGTTCCTTGCTCCTCCGTCACCGGACCAGGTCCTAGAGACTCCCATTCCCGCACCTCTTCACGCCTCCTCGTCGCGATTGCATCGTCCCACCCAATTTCCTGCCCATTGAAGACGCTCCCCAAGCGAAAACTGGCCCTGGAGGCCGGTGTCGGGAGGCCTCCAAGTGAAGCCCCAGGAATAGCCCGTGAGCTGTCTTCTTCCCCCTCCATTCGCGTGCAAGCGGCGTCGATTACGTTTCGGACCTTGGAGTCGCGACGTTTTTGTAATGGCGCAGGCCTAGACAATTGGGGGTCGCGTCCCTAAAGATGCGGGCGTGGTAGGCGCGAAGTGGGCGATTTGAACGCGGGGCCAGAGTTTAGTCGTGTGTGAGAGCGTGGAATAAGTAAGTCTATAAAATCGAAAATCTGTGGTTGGTCACGCTAGGCTAAGAACTCCATTCCGCCAACATTGAACCACATGAAATAGGGTTCCTAAACATGGGCGCTGGTTTAGAGAGTTATAGAGGTTAAGAACGAGCTAAGTTAGAGAGTGCTAGCTGCCTAGGTATAGCAGATCGAAGTCAATGTCGAGGGAAAAAAAAAACCCTAGACATTGACTTGGCGATCTGCTTTACTTCGAATTGTCGAGGGAGGGAAACTCGGGTCGGGCCAAATGCCCGACCCGACTTAGGGCGCGGTACCCGATTTCGAGTCGGGTCAAATTTCGGGTCAAAAACTGACCCGACCCGACCCGACCCAGTTTCGGGTGACGGGTCGGCCCGACCCGGCCGGGTAAACCCGACCCGACCCGCCCGGGTCAACGCTTCAAAATGTCTGACCCGACCCGGGTCAAAACCCGGGTCGGGTCGGGTCGGCCCGACCCGCCGGGGCAGGATGATCATGCCTACAACATACATAGGCTAGAAGTGTAGCACATTTATAAATTGGGGGGTTGCTTAGTGTACCCTCCAACCACATTTTGTGGTTGGTTGGGATTGGTCCTTAGCTCAACCAATCCCAACCAACACACATTTGTGGTTGCTTGGGTCACAAGCAAGCTCACCCATTGGCCAACGTATTGGCTAATAGGGTAAGCTTCCCTCTCATCTCACTCTTGCTCATTGCTTGTACTAAAGAGCCTCTTGGCTCATTATTCAATATATCAATTCTCTCTCTTTTAACAAATATTACTGCCAAGAGTGAAGCAGCAGCCTTGGGAGGAGGAAGAGAAAGCAGACAGACAACCTCAGCTTCCTCGTCAGCAAGCTCACGGATCTGGGCGAGGTGAGGCAGCGTCGCCGTCGAGGTGTCGGTCGGCGGGGTGGTCGACGTCCGTCCTGACACCGGTCCGTGCTCCGACTTCCGCACCTCCAGCGACATATCCTCGTAAAACACCACGTTCGACGAGGTGACCACCCGGTTGTCGGCGACGTCGAGGAGCTCCCAGCCCTTACTCTCCTCCGACACGCCGAGGTGAAGGCCCCACCTGGCCTTCGGCTTCAGCTTCCCACCACGCTGCTGCTCGAGGACCAAGAACTGCATCATGCAGCCCCACACCCGCACCAGCGACAGGTCGGGCTTCATCCCGGTCAGCAACTGGTACGGTGTAGTCCCCGGCGATAGCGTCGACCTCTCAAGGCAGTTGCGGACCCAGACGGCCTGCCTCAGAGCGAGGTGCCACCAGTGGTGCTGCACGCCCACGTGCAGCAGTATCGTCCGCACCGACTCCACCACCGTCCTCATCTCCCTCTCCACCAAGCCGTTCTGCTGCGGGGCGTATGGGCAAGTAAGGTCGTGGACGATCCCCTGTCCATCTACGAAGTCGGTGAACTTCTTCCCGAGGAACTCCCCTCCTCGGTCGGAGCGAAGCATCAGCACCGGCTTCTGCGTCTGCCTTTCCACCAACACCAGCCACTTCTGGAACTCCTGCAACACATCCGGTTATTCTAATGAAGCGGATCAAGCCAAATGCAGCTGAAGTTTGACAACCGTTTTACCAAGACAACATGACGAAGTCCTTTATTCCAGTTTTATAACTGTTTGATGATCGCTTTTTTTGTTTTTGTTAGTGCTTAGTGCTTTCTATAAATGTGTGCTTGTGTTTGATTGTAATCACAACTTTGACGAGTAAAAATATTCTCTATCGACGTTTTGACGCGAGGAGAATTTTCTGCACACGTTCCAATTTGTCATCGACACTTCTGCATATGAGTTTGGGAGTGCTCTAGTGCACACGACTGCTTTCACGCTTGAAAAGTCTCTCTACAAACACGGACCCTTGGATAAGGGCTGGTTCTATCAGGCACCCAATGACCCTTGGAGGTGACCCTGTGGGGACTATCTAGCGTTGATTAAAGGTGTGTTAAGAGCTTCTAGGTCCCCAAATGGTAGTCAACATCCCCAACCTCCCCCCCCCCCCCACACGAGATCCACCCGCCCTACCTTTTTTGCTGCCTGCCCGTCAGAGCATCAGAACCACCGTCAAACTCTCGGAGAAAGCGTAAAGATCATTCTGTCCAAACAGTAGCGTAAAAAATGCTGGCTCCATCAATTTCAACTAAACATTACACCCTTCGCATGTTTTATCATCAGGCAACTTTTCCAGAATGCGCTGACCGGGTCCATTCCATCCACCATCGGCAACATGAGCAACCTCAAAACCTTGTGAGTAACTTCAAGGGATCATAAAAAGAGCTAGGATGACCCTGCACAGGTTCATACATAAGAGGGCTAGAGCTGGCAGTTAAGAAAACGTATGGCCTTGGCTTGACTCTACACAACTCCTAACTCGACTTCCACTCAAAGTGACTTGAATGGACTCGTCTCATGGCTTTCCCATGCCCCATAAAAGGTTTTTTGGCTGTCCTAACATTTTTTTGCTTGCCTAGGCTTGCGTTTAACCCAGCGTCTAATCAGCCCTAGACGCGTCTTCCGCAACTTAGAGAGAGAGACTCCAACAAATTTATCTGCATTCGGGCCGAGTCCACCCAATCCGGGTGGATACTTTTCTCATGCCTAGGCCTAAGCTCTCCTTTTTATCTGAGAACAAACACACACACACACACATACACACACGCACACACGCACACACACATCCACATACACACACACACACATACACACACACACGCACACACACATCCACATACACACACAAACACACACCTTGCCAAAGCTGCTGGCAACAGACTTTTCTTCGATTGCTGACAGTGACGACATTATATTATGGAATACGCTCTCTTTGCACTGTTCACGCTCACAAGTTTCAACTCATTCTTGTGCCCTGCTATGCATTTCCATCACCACTAACGTTGTGTACTGTGTATCCCTTCCTGTTGCTTCTGAATGTCTACATATTTGCGTGTTTGTGTGATGCTCAAATCATTGCCTGTTGTTTTCATTCGTTTTCACTTGTTAGAAGGGCTTGCAACACTGTGCTATATAGTCGATGGTAACGTTAGCACCTTGTTCATCACGCACCGTTTAGAGTAGGTAGCTTGTATCACAATCATATTTCAGCATGTCATGATCTTTTCAGTCCTTGCTTTGTGATATCATTGCTCCCTCTCCTACCATTTGGTTCATTCATTTCTTATTTTTGTCTGAATTTCATGACACCTTCCCATGTGCTTGGTAACTAGTGTTCGCCGTATCTATTTTCAACAAGTAAGAAACCCTATTTATGTATTCTTTCCACGCATGTTTTACCAACAGATTTCTTAACCACAATGCACTAACTGGTTCCATTCCATCCACCATTGGCAACATGAGCAACCTCAAATACTTGTGAGTAACATCAAGGGATCATAAAGACAGCCAAGACCCCTCACAGGTTCATACATAAGAGAACCAGAGCTGGCAGGTAAGAAAACGTCTGGACTTGGCTCGACTCAACACAACTCCCAATTTGACTTCCACTCGAAGTGACTTTCGACTCAACTCATGAGCATGTCTAACCCATGTTGTAACTATCCCAGCAAGAGAGACTCCAACAAATGTATCTGCGCTGAAAAATAAACAGCTCCAACTTTCTCAAACCGTAGTAACCCACATGTGTCCAACTCAACTCAGGAGTTGGGTGTCGTGGGCCTCGGTTGGACAGGAACAGGATTTTACTGAAGACCAAAAACCAGCATGACTCATTGAGAGTGTCATAATCTTCCTAGTGCAGGGTTTGACTAGCTCGATTCTGGGCTGGTTTATGACAGGCCAAAATAAAACGTGGGTTTACCCTTCATGTACCAGTTTTTAAGGGTGAACTGGGGCCTGCCCTTGGCTATGACTACGAAGAGGGGTTGCAATGTAAGCATGAGCAGCCTATCAAGTGGTTTGTGCCTTTATGCACTCTTGCTTTGGTACTTCAACATTTTGGGCACGGTACCTGGGCATTTCCAGTTTTATGTGAGCATGGCTTTCAGCCATGCCTCAGGACACGGTAAGGCAATCACAATGCATGCAGTGTTTTACACAATGATGGGTCATTCGAGCTCACGGAGAGAACTTGCACTGGCCATAGGTAGGAGGTACATATAATACCAAGGGCTGAACTGTGACTTCTTTGGCTCAACCTTGTTCCGCCTATCAAACATCGTATGTTGATTCTGAAATGTGTTTTGCCTGGTTGGGAAATATCTCACAAGAAGCAGATTATGCATCTCATGCTTGACTGGACTCTGTCACGTTGGTTGAACAAAAATCTCTACCGCAACTCGATCAACCATGTTAACCTGGAATAGCCTCATAGGATATGCGTCCGTCCCCTGCCACAATTCATGACCTTTTCATTTCCTTCTCTGACTGTCTCCTACTGTCAACCAATATCTGATTCATTCATTCGTGTTTCCATCCCTGTACAGGTAAAACTTCTTGCATGTATGCACGGTTAGGACCCTTGTTAGCGAAGCTTCGACTGTGTCTATTCTGTCTGTTATCTGTTATTTCCATCCATTGCAGTGATGTTAGCGAGAACAACCTCACTGGCCAACTCCCTCCAACAATGGGCAATCTCGGTTATCTTTCATACCAGTAAGGCACTTAAGCATTGTAAAACAGACATAACGTGCACAATGTGCACAGGGTGAAGCTAGTTCAGAAATGCTTGAGAAAGATTTCACAAGTGGATACAAGTAAAACATGAACTAAAATGGACAGAGAGTGAAGAGAACTCACTTGGAGGCGACTTGGGCTGGTCCAAGTGACGAAATGGGTCTCCAAAGGACTTGGGGTGCTAA